TGTATTGGGAAAATACATACACACACAAACAGACAGACAGGCAGACACAAACACACACACACACACACGGATAGAGTCATTGTTGCAGCACAAAAAACAGTGTTAAATGTGAAAATTTAAACTATCGTGTTGTGATCATTATTCACAAACAGTGCCTTTTTCTGCACATGAAATCGGAAATGACCGAAGATACGTCAACTGTAAAATTTTTTTGTAGTATATGGTTCGGTTTGGGCAACATGGTCAGCTTGGTCAATTTGCGCAAACAATGTACGCGTTCGTGTTCGTGCATGCAATACAGTCCGAGGATTTTCATGCCTCGGTAATAATCAGGTATTCCATACATCCGGAATTTTGCAGTACCATAGGACGGTATTTCAAAAACACTGGTCTCCAAATGAAGATTATTTACAGGAATTTATGGAATGCGAAATGGATCGCTTACATGCGGTACGTGATTCGGAATACGAGGCAGTGGATCCATGGGAAGATGATCGCAGGGAGGCAATGAAACAGCTCTTTCCGAACAATTTTCCACATGAAGAACGCAAACATCTATTTCAACTTAGAAGAAAATTTGGCTCAACACCTATCCGACGTCATCCAGGTTTTATTCAGTATTATGTGCCGGGATAAAAGTTATACATTTGCGAGGAAAAAATAATACAGTTCGTCGATGACTTATTGTCTGATGTGTACACAATGATTTTTAGGAACATTTCTTGCAAAACCCTCTGCTTCCAACTTCACGTTTGGTAATATTACTGAAAAATTTTCTCCAGCTCGGCTCATCAGCTAGCCGATCGCAGAAAGTACGGCAAATTAGCATGTTTTGAAAGGTTTTAAGTATAAACAGCATGACATCGATGAGGTCCTTGGAGTGGCCCAATCAACTGAAAACGTAAAATAACATCCACGCTCCAAAAAGTCATGCACACATAATACAAATACATAAGACGAAATCATAACGCAAAACAAGATCATTTCGGTTTGAGTTAAAATTCGGATAATCCTCAAAATAACTTTTGAGTTAAATTTTTTCAACTTCCGGGCTTTCGACCTCAGGCTTGAATTCAAGCAAATATTAAACTGAGGGCCATAAAAGTTATGAGACTACACTTCTTGCGCTAAGTTCGCGCAAAGATCTCTTGCTACTATTGACCCGAGGGCCAGATTTAGATCGCTGTATGCAAACCGAAAACCACGAGATCGAAATCAGTGTCATAAATCAGTTATATCGTTTACCACAAATTCAAGTGAATTCCGTAACCTAAAGAAAATGAGCCGCATCGTTAAATTTTCCATATAATTTTTATCAGATCATAATGTTGGCTGGCCAAAATAATTTTTATCAGACCAAAATCAGAATTTAAACCCTTCTTTGCCCTGATGCACGATTTAAGATTACTTTAAGGTAGAATGAAACAAGTTATAAATTTGATATTTTAGAATTTTTCGCGCGGAAAACAGCTATGACAAAGCAAAACCAATCCTGCACGTTTTATCGCTTTCAGTTGCTGTAAGGCCGTAGCTGCTTACTAAAAAAAAGAAAACGCAGAATCAAATTGTCTTCTTGATGCTTGCCGCCACCTGTATACTTTTGATTGCAGATCGGCAACAACGAATGGATGGGTTAACTGATCCAAAACAACACCTGCAATTACAGCAGCGGTCATTGACTGGACCAAACAATTTTGCGATGCAAATTGATGAAGCTGACAGTCGAGTATTTGCACGGTCTCCTGTCTTTGATCCAGGCTTAACAACTGCAGCTTCAACAACAGCATCAGCTAACAGCAGCACAGTTGCACCAGCAACACAATATGCGCAACCCAGTTTGCAATCACTGCAGGCGCCACCGTCCTCTGCAAGGAAGCAAACGGCAGTTCCACTCATTCAGCTGACCGCTCCGCCGTCACAGGTACAAGTGGCCCTGATACCAGAAAAGTCTTCACAGCTTTCACCGACTTCTCAGCTAGCACCAATTTCACCGCAGGAGCAATACCAGCACTTCACGCAAACGCAAGTTCCTCCGGCACAAGCTGAGGAATCTTCGGCAGATGTTCATTTGGTGCAAGCGGAAACTTTCGTACCCACACATTCACCGGAAACACCAGTAGCTGCAAGTGATATCCAAGCTGCCTCGGCTAACGTGCCGCAATCACAGCTTCTGGATACAGAGCCTTCGACAGAGTCGTCTTTTACTACCACCGCCCAAGATTCGCAGCAGCCGGTAAGCAATAACGTGGGACCAGTTATCGGGACAGTTACTCTTTCTCCCGCTGCAGAAGACCCAACAGTGCGAACGCTGGTGAATTCTGCTCCACCAGCGGTTTCTGCCGTACCACCCCAGTCCAGCATTCCATCGTTACCATCACTATCATCATCACAAACATCTTGGCCTTCGTCACTTTCGGTGGTTTCATCATCACTAGCATCACTGCCTTTTACGGCACTTGTGTCACAGCCATCATCATCCGTATCATTATCGTCTTCACCAGGACCACTGATTATGGCCGAATTATCGGAACCTTCAGAAATTGCGATCAGCTTCGGTCAAAAGCATACTGTCCCAACAGCAAAGGCATTGGACTTGGATGATATTGCGGAGACAGCATTTATGGACAAGCAGGTTGTTGGAGAGAATCCTGAACCGTTGCAATCCCAATTAAAATTGCAGCCCGAGGAAGCTGGCCGTGACCACACAGTTGTGCCACCAAAGAAGCAAGATCGAGGAATATCACACAAGAAGCCTGCACAGTTCTTGTGAGTTTAGAAATTTCCGTGCAAAAAAAAGAAACAAAATGAAAAAAACTGAAAAAAAAAACCCTGCCTTACTGAAAAAAAAACCCTGCCTTCAGCAGCTAAGCTTGTTCCGGGAGGAAAATCGCACCAACGGTCGTTTTTTTGAAGAAAACTCCCAGAATCTTTCACACACACACTTGCTTCTTCCTTTGAATATCCAGCTTCACACTTAAGGACCCTTTCTGTCAAAGACGACCATAAAAAGCACTTCCTCTTTGCAGCTGTTGATGTGAAAGGAGCAGTACTAGTCAAATCAAATTTGCTTTTTCGCAAGCTCTCCATGCCTTTTGCTTGGAGGTAAAAAAGATGAAAAAGATAAAGTAATTACGAAGATAAGAAAAATTTTGAAAATTAAGTTGTTTAATGCAACAATTTCAATAAACACTAGAAACTGAAATTCAAAAGTTTATCAAGCTTCGAATAGAGGAGAAGTTCAAGGAGCGATAATCGAATCTCTGCCCACAAAGAATATGGAGGAGTTATCTGAAATCGAAAATACTGTGAGAACAAATAATCCGAAGCACGCACCACGACTCTCCGAAAACATTTTCCCATTCCGCTATACGAACCGGACAGATGCAACTGCACGATCACGACATACACTACATTCCGGTGAAATCGATTCCGATCAGGTTCCATGTTTCACAATGTTTTTTTTTTTTCTTTACACGAAAATTTTTTTAGCATTTTCACATTTATGGAAATAAAAACGCACCATGGTGTTCTTATGAATGTATGTATCTGCTTCTTTACATCAGTGACGAACGTTGTAACCAGAAACACAAACCAGGCTGGAACGCACCAGGCTCTCCAGTGCGATCATGCGTTTTTGAACTAAACTCGCAGATCGCTATTAGCAAAAATGATCCCTATGATGTAGCCTAACACTTGGGCTCACATTGGCCGTGCTTTGGCTCCTTTCGGCATGCAGGAGGAAGGGCGTCAGTTGGGAAGAACGTGATGCATTATAGAGCCGCACGGACATCCAGGTGCATGATTATCGGTTTTTTGCATGAAGTTCGGTCGTTTTTTCGGTAAATGCTCGCTTTGTGAAGAAATGACGAATGCAAATTTTTTGAAAAAATGCAAATTTCCAGTTCACTAAAAGGTAGAAGCATTGCTCGAGTGGTCATTTGTCAAAAAATCCACGCTCATTTACATATACGACTGCGGTTAAGGTCCGAGCTGCAAACGATTTTCTGGAAAATATGCAAATTTTCAGTCCCTTAAGAATTGAAAGTATCGCTCGAACAGTCTTTTTTCAAAAAATCCATGTTCATTTGCATATACAGTTGCGATTCAGGTCCGAGTTGCTAACGATTTTTGGGTTGGGGAGCTGCTTGAGGCTGTGGTTGGGAAGCTAGAGAGCTGAGTTTAAAATTTTTATCTCACACGTGCATAGAGAATATCTCTGCAAGGTTTCAGCTTCTACGTTGCCTGGTTCGCGAAATCGTTTCGCGCCAAAATATTTCTTTTGAGGTGCCGTACGTGAGGTCTAGAAGCGTATGGGGAAAGATCTTAAAATGGGAGGAAGACACACGGGGTTGGAACATATATCCAAAGTTTCAGCCTCCCAGCTTTCCTAATTACTGAGATGAAAGTGGGTGACAAAATGAAGTCGCTTTCCGAACACACACACACACACACACACACACACA